CAAGAGGTTTGTTTTGAAATTAAAAACATCTAATTAAAGAATTTTTTTTGTTTGTTTGGGGTAAAATTAAATCTTATAAAGGTAAGACCACATCCACCAGTGACCGGAAGAATGTCCCAAAAGTGAAAGTTGTATGGTCAATATAAGACACTGGAGATAATCCATCCAGTCCATATATCTCACTAGAGTAAAAGGAAATAGAATGTTACAGGATGGAAATGTAATTTAATAGCTGAGTGAACACTTGATCAGCTTATTTCATCCTCAAGAAGAAAAAGGGTGAAGGCAACCCAGGTGGTTAAATTGTAATGCAGTTGAAATTCCATCACCCATGAAAACTGTAATTGGGATTCCACTTTTGGACTTGGCCAGCCCAGAAACAGATGTGTGTTCCAACGAGGATCGCAGACTGCTCTCCTGGAGAAGAGCTCCTTAGAGTGAAACAGGGGTTTCAACTGGTTTCAACTCCAAAGAAGAGACTAGACTAAATGGAGTATAATTGTTCCAAGTGTTTAGAATTCCCAAGTTGGATTGGTACTAAATGTGTGGTTTCCCTGTTACTGCCTTGAAAAAAGAAGACGGTGTGATTCCTTCTTACTCTGTTCTTTCTTAAGTTTGAGATCCAACAGTTTGGCTAGAAATATCTCAGCCACAGTGAGTGAGGCTATAGTTCAAACAGCAAGGTCAAGGTGAAGACCAAATACCATTTTGTGCGTAATTCCCGCCCATTAAAAGAATAGAATCAAATGGTTCTCATTACATAGCCTGCCTGGATGCACAATCCTTTGAGCTGAGTTCCTCGGGCACATTTTGGCAAGATTCTAAATTCATATTACCTGGCCTAACATGGAGCAGGTAGAGTTTCTTTTGAAAAGAAACCCTGGCCAATATAATTCTACCTAGAGAAACTGATGCCAGTGGGCTTTAACCCAGACCACCGCTCCATTAAATAAATCCCATCCTCCTTGACAGAAGTCAAGAAACAAGCAAACAGGGAAACACAGTTGTCAATGAGCGGGGTCCACCCAACAGGAGATTAACGCCACATGGTTTTCAAGTGAATTGGGGATAAGTAAAAAGAATGCTCGTGCCAGTGTTGGATGTTTACATTTTATTCCTATCCAGTATTTCTTCAAACGAGGGTCTTCCCCATCACTTTGCCTCTGTCTCTCTTTCCTGATCTAGAGAGATGGTGTCCTTTCAAAGAAAGGAAAACTGCATTCTTCAGCCCCTGGCAGCTTTGAGCATCGTTGCGTGGACAAGCCAGGATGTCTTCAGGAAGGACAAACCTCTGTGTCTCCTGTCCTTTGGTTTGCTTTCTTTCCTCCTTGCCCCGAAGCAGCCACCTTTCCTAGGGAAGTTCTTACAATCCATTCTAAGCCCTTTCTCCAATCATGAATGCCACAAAACCCAGTCTTTATTCATTTAAAGCACGAAGCTGGCCCTCTTTACAAATACTCTGTTTCTAATAAACCCTTGTTGATATGCATCCATTCAAGAGAATAAAGTGAATATGCTAGAGCTGGTGGTGTGCAAAGATCAGATCTCCAGACCCCATCTGTGTGCACCCAGCACAGTGCTGTATGTACCGTTAAAGCACAAACACAGAAACAGAGTTCTGCTGGCTGCATTTTTTCTCCTGGAAGGAATCATTAAAAAACTGTAACAGCGTTCACCTTTAAGGACAGAGATGAGGACAGGAAGAAACTTTCACTTTTCATTTCAATGTTTCTGTGCTGCTAGAATTTTCTAACGATGTACATATATTACTTTCATTCTTTGAACAAATCCAAGGGTTATTTGAGTGGTTACATGTCATTTTCTGTTTATTTTATTTTTGGTACTTTATTTTAAAAAATTTATTCTTAAATTAAAAAATAATAAAAGGCAGGTACTAGTGCAAATTGCCTCTAGAGAGTGATTCTTTCTCAAATTATTCTACCCGACATGGTACTTTGTAACCTTATCATGAGTCCCCAGAACAGATAGACCAACATGCAGGGAGAACAAAAATGCAATCCTTAATGGGCTCTTTTGAAAAGTGTTTCAATGCTGAGTCCTTCCATCAACCATAAAAACTACTCCCCTGCCCTTTGTTAACAGTGAAAAAATAATCATCTCCAGACAGGTGAAGCAACACCAGGGCTGGGCTTCCAGCAGGCCAGTGGTGTCACCGCATGGGAGGGTGCATTTCACAGACAGGACACCGAGGCTTGGTGAAGTCACAGGCCTCCTCCCCACTGAATGGAACAGGGGTTTCACCTAAGCTCGCTGGGACTTTCCAGGGCCCGCAGCCTCCAGGGAGGAGGGAGAGCCCTGCATATCCCTCAGGACGTGACAAAGCGTGCTGGCCCTCTGACCAGATGCTGTCCATCCTCCGTGAACACGCCCTCAGCGCCGGCGACCCTGGAAGGCCCGCCTCCAGCCACAGCACACGGGGAGCTGCGGGGGACAGACTTGGAAAGTGCCTCCCTTTGCAGGTGGCAGCCTCCATCCTTCCTGGACTGCATTTTCCAGCTCTTCTCACCCCTGATCCCAGTCAGCCCATACACAGAGCACGACATGGCAGAGAAAAAAAGGATGACAGCAATGAGAGCTGGATTCTTCTCATTTCTTCCGAAAAGGTGAGGCGCTTTCTTCCTGGCCCAAGCCAGCCAGTCCTCCGGGCAGCAAGGATGGTTGTGTGAGATGCTGTGGATGACTGAGCACGTCAAGCTCATCTAAATACTTTATTCCTGTTATCATTATGGGCAGCCTCTCTGCAGGAAATGCTGGCACAGAAGGCTGAGGACCCCAGGCTCAAAGTTTGAGCCCCAATCCTGGCTCTCTAATGAGATGGTGTCACCCAGTTTCCATGTCCAAACCCTGTGATCCCAAGCTTGCTGTATGTGGTCCAGAGAAATAAACTAGGTCTCTAACCCTCAATATTCCTGTTTATAAAATGGAACTTTTTGTATAAGCAAGAGACTTTGAAGACCTGGGAAGAAAAGCCTCTAAATGAAAAAAAGCAGATACTCTTTTCATTAGTTTTGATGAATACCTCCAGCAGGTACTATTGCAGTGAGATGCAATGAAAATAATTCCCCCACCGGTTCCCTCCAAGCAGACAGCTCCACTTACAAGCAAAACCTTCAATTTGAAAATCTCTGCTCTCAGTTTTAGAAAAGCAAACAGTGGGAGAAAAAACAAAACAAGTGGCCAGAGACTCCTCTGTCGTGAGAAATCCCTAGGTTATTTGGTAGCCTGTGATAGTTTTCTTTAGCTTTAGAATGTTAAAAAATGTTCTGGGAAAGTCCTCCATTGTTCCTCACTGCCTTCTGCCCATTTTTTCCCTCTAAGAATTAACTTCATTTTAGGATGGTTTCTGCATTCTGTCTCTCTACCTCGAGTTTCCAGGGACCATCCCTGAAAATGTTCCTCCCCTCTCATTTTCTCTTCCACCTCAACCTGGGTTACAAAGTGTTAAGGAGTAAACCAATAAAACAAATCCCTCTTTGCAGGATCTTAGTTCCCCCAACCAGGGATCGAACCCGTGCCCCCTGCGTTGGAAGCATGGAATCTTAACCACTGGCTCGCCAGGGAAGTCCCAGAACAATTCCCTCTCAATAGTGTTTATGCTGGAAACCCAGGGGCTAAGTCATTGAAACATACCTATACAACACTCCAGTCTGGACACAGACTTGCTTACCCTTACAAAGCACACATACAGATGCTTTCCTTTATTCAAAGGTAGCCATGGTTAACAGGTGATGTCAGACTCTCACCAGTGACATTTTTCTGACTACAGAGATTGAAGTTTTATGTCCAGGGTCCTGCCACCAGTGCTCCTGAACTTGGGAGCAGTGAACGGAGCTTGTGTCCTGCTCTAGAAGACACTTTCTGGATTTTTCTGACCCCCATCCCTTTGCAAGCCAGAAGCCAGATTGCACCTTTGTACCCGGAAGCAGTTTGTCGTTTAAATTAACAAATGTGCTGACCCCTGAATACCAAAAAACAGTGCTGATGCGTCTACCATATGCCAGATTCCCTCCTGTTGGGTGTGGAGGGGTAGGAGGGGGCACCCCCAGGGCACGCATGGTTTTCTAACTACAGAAAACACAGTGGCCCCAGTGCCCCTACTCCTACCCCAGTCTTCTTTGGGGTGACATCATCTCAGAGGAAGCAAAGAGAAGCCCAGCCACTGGGCACTGAGAAAACATCCAAAGAAGAATATTTCCTGATAATATCCTTGGGGTGGGGGGAGAAGAAGGGACAGTTCACCGAGGTTTTATCTGGGTTCATGGTTATAAAAATATGAAATAAAAACTGTGGCTTCTCCATTTCCCAGGTTGGAGCCCCTCGGTGAGGCCTGGGGCCCCCGGAGGGGTGGAGGCTAAAAAGAGGAGGGCCTGTCGTGGAGACTGGTCTGGTGCTCTCGGCAAGGGGGTGAGGGTCCGGGCAGTGCCAATAAGGAGAGGCAGAGTCGTGACTTGTAAAGGCCAAGGAGAGAAGACGGCGGACCCGGCTGGACCACAGGAAAGGGAGCCCACGTAGACGGGGAGACGGAGGGAGGAAAGGAAGCGAGATAGAGAGGAAAATGAAGAGGGCGAAGGTGGGGAAGGAAAGGAGGCTCAGGAGGAAGGAGGGAAGAAAGGGAGGAAGAAGGGAAGCGAGGCAGAGCGGGAAAGAGGGAGAGAGGGGAAGGGAGAGAAAGGGAGGGAGGGGCGTGCCAAACAGCCCGGGGAGAAGTAGGAAAAGACGCTGGAGGCCCGCTGGACGAGGGAGGCCACGTCAGAGCAAAGGTCGCGGCGACGAAGATGCAACAGTCTGAAGCCAAAGTTCAGAGAAGCCGAAAACCCCGGCCGATGGAGGAAGCGCGGCTGCCGGGCGCGGGGCCGGGCGAGGCCGGGTCTGATGGGCACTTCGGCCGCGGCGAGTCCTCGGGTCCGCGCCCCACTGCGCCCGCCGCTCCGCCGCCGCCTCCGGGCTCGGGCTTGGGCTCGGCTCACGGACGCACGGCCCTAGGAGGTCGAGGCCGGGACGGGCAGTCCGTGTAAGCTCCCGAGGCCGTCGGGGGCCTTGCCGCCGGGGCTGGGCGGCTTCCGGTCGGCCACTGCGGGAGGAAGCACACGGCGTGGGGTCACTGCAGGGAGCTGCGCCGAGCGGCAGACCCGGGGACCGCGATACCCGGGAACACGGCCGACAGCGCAGGGTCCCGGGGAGAAGGGGCGGCGCGCGCTCCACATCTCGGGGTTGCAAGGAGGCAGCGAGACCGCGCTTCCCGGAGCCCTCGGCACCCACCCTTCGCGGCCCCGCGGAAACCTCTCGCCCTCCCAGCCTGGGTCGCGGCTCTCCTCGCAGGGCCCGCCTGCAGACGCCCCGCGCCTCTCAGTAAAGCGGGCGCCGGGCGCAGGGAGGCGCTGCAGAGCCAGGCGGCCACGGGCGGGGCGGTGGTCCGATCGCAGACCGGGGAGGGAGCGGGGAGCTGAGATCCGCGCACCCCGCCTCCCGAGCCCCCACCCACGCCAGACCCAGCTGGCGCACCGGCCCAAGAGGCTGCCAGCGCGTCAGGTCACGGTCCTCAAAGCAACTCAGGGCCCGCGATGGGCCGGGGGTGGGGGGGAATCGAGTGGGGGTGGGTCACCAAAATACCCCGCGGGGAGGGCCCAGGGTGGCCAGGATCACCCCCGACGTGGGAGGCGGTCGCGCGTTAGGCGGGCGGCAGACTTCGTTCTGCCCCCGCGGCCCGGGGATCCAGATGCGCTCATCACTGTGGGCACAGCACGTCCTGAGGCCTGTGGGCCTCCGGATTTAGTGACAGTGGACTTGCCATATTAGGCAGCATTCAGCGAGTTGCTCTATTATTTAGGGTTTTGGGAAGGGGCCCAAGTTTTGCTACTGGAAGCCAGAAAATTGACGCCACGATTGTGCAACCCCTGTTTTTCCCTTTCCCGACGCCCGGCCCCTCGGCTTCTCCTGCGCTGGAAAGCACAGGCTTATTTATACCTAAAAGCGCCTATTTTCAACTTTCTTTTCTCCTCCACACGTCCTCCTTTAAAGGGGGAGCTTGGGGGCGCCTCAATTTGGGGTGAGGGGGAGCTCCCGGCTGTTTCCTCCTGCAGCTGCCCTCGCCCCGGCTCTGGCGCACCGCCCCGGGGCCGCGCGGAGCCGGGCCCACACCTCTGCGCCAGGGGCGCGCGCGCGCACATCTGGTTTCGCAGAGGTGGCGAAGGGGTCTGGAGACCTTTCCAGGACCGACCCCTCGCTCTCCCTTGCCTCTCAGCTCTCTTTCCTAAACACAGTTATGGCCGCTCAGCCGACGAGGTTTTCAGACCTTTTCATTCCACCCAGTACACACACTTGGAGGTGAGGCCCTGTTTAGAAAACAACTCCGGAGTTGGAGATTTCTCAGCCAAGGGCCGGTTGCCTGAGAGACAAGCGAGAAAATGAACTCGTGAAAAATAAACACCCGGGAGACCAGAGACAGATTTCACTCCGCTCTATGGGGGCGAGCCTGCTGCTGCGTTTGTAGCTCTTCCCCCGCCCCAGTCCCTCCCCATAGGACCCCTCTGCCCCTCCTTTCCCACCTGCAGGAATCTGGGTGACGGAGTGGGTACGTCGCGGGGCCCCCACGAAGGCTCGAGCCGGCGTTAGGCGCTCTGCAAGCTTATTTAAACTTAATGGGCAGGAATGGGGACAAGCTTTTTAAAAAATATTGGTACTTCCATTCCAGGGCCACTGGGACACTGGGGTGGGGCAGGGCGGGGATGGGGGAGATGTCAGCAGAGTCCTGGAAAGGGGTCCCCCAAGGCTGTGTCAAAGGAGACCGAGGTTGGCGGCGGCGGGCTCTCAGGCCAACGCTTGCGCCCTAGTGTTCCTGGCAAAGTTCGCTTTTAGGATCCTTCAAGAACTAATCCGGAGCAGGGGCGACTGGAACAAGCCGCGAGTTATCTCTAACAAATATAAAAGACACATATTCTTTGAGCCTATGCAATATCTTATAAATTTGATTTCCAAATCTTTAGTCTTTCCAAAAGCCGGCTGGAAGGGACCTCAGAGCCGGGAGGTTTTGAGGTTTCTGAAAACACTGTAAATACCATTTGTCTTGAGGGAATGCCTGATGGGGTCTGTCACCTGTCTGGAAGGGGAAGGGGAGGGAGATGGTCTTGTCTGGATAGGGGTCGGAATTCCTAGAACACGGGCCCCCCTCCACTTGTAGATGAAGTGGAACTTTCCTATGCTCTCAGGCCTTAAGAATTAAAGTTTCCTTTCACCGTCGGGAAATGTAAATCACACTGTCTTGCCTAAATAATAGGGAACCCAGACTCACAACCCTCTACCAAGATAAAGTTAATAAATTGTAATGAATAATTTGACATCTGAGTAAGCTTATCTTAGGATAATAATGTTCATTCGCACCTGATGTGGAGGACATATTGAAATATATGTATATACATATACAAAATATAATATATATTATTATGTGTATATTGTCCGTGTATGGACTAGGTGATCAGAAGTATTTGTTTTATACTGAGCCGTCGTGATATTAAACCGCCTTCAGTAAAGAAACTGTTTTCTTACTGAAGAAGTTCAATAGACACTATTCCTACTACTCTTATGAACAATTAATGATAGTAAATTGTCTTATGGGATAGGTTTCTTTGAAGATAATTTCTTAAGCAATGATTAGAAAATTAAAGGCAGTGATTCACATTACTTTGCTTTGTAATTTTTCAAAGACCACTTGTGGGTGGGGGCAATCTTTCAATTCCATTTCTCTGCCAATGAGAAGAGTGAAAATCCATAACCCAAAGATATGCAATTCTCATTATTTATATGTTCCTGTTCAAACACAAACATTTGTATGCCAGCTGGAGAAATCATTTTCAATGATAGACCTGATTTATTCGATGACCCTTTACTTGGATCTTTAAAGAACTGTCAGGATCAGAACATTGTTATTAATTTAACAATGAATGTAGCTAATTACTGCTGCAGATTTTGGAAATGGGTGGGATGTTTCATAATAGGAAGTGAAAATAATGGTGAAATGGACAGGAATGCCAGTGTCATTCAATGGCTCTGTATTTCTGAAAGGAAAGTATCTTCCAAAGAAAATTAACCACCAGTGAGTACCCCCTGCCCATCAAATTAACTAGAGTTAGCCTAGAACTCAGAACTGTGTGTTTCACCTTTGGATTATTACCTACATTTCATAATTTGTTTCTAAGGTAGCGCTTGAAATACCCTGGGACAGAATGGCTCTGTTAGGAAAGGACCGCATCACTCTGAAGATAGCGAGTCCTTTTTCTAAGTCTTCCTGCTACTTGGGGTCAGCCCAGGGGGAATCGTTTAAATTTGTGGATACACTTTTCTAAATCAAATTAACCTGCTTAGTTAAACGATTAGTCTAATGAGTATAATTTGGTAAATTCCATTTTAATTTCTAATTCAACAGATAACCTCAGGTGTCAAGAAAACGAGTAGGTCCAAGTCCCAGGACAAGGCTCTGAGCAAAACACTTCCCCTAAGACCCCTTATCTGTCCTTAAAGGGAAAGATCGAAGGAGCTCTGAGTCTCGACTTTTAAAATTCCCTTTACTTAGATTTTCCTGTAAATGAACAAGTGGAATTTTCCTATTATTTAAATTAAATTTAAAGATTGAAGGAGTTCTAAGTCTCAATATTTGTAAATTGATATCCCAGAATTTTCGTGCTCTAAAAAAGTGACAAAAAATTTTTTAACTTTTGTTCCTCCGCTTGACTGTTAATGATGGCATCTTAATCCTCTCTCTCTCTCACTTTCTTTCTGTCTCTCTCTCTTTCATAGATCACGCTATTATGTCTCAATGAAACTACTTGGAAATAAAGTTTTTGCCTGGGTATCACCAAAGAGGAAGCCCCTCCTTTCCTCTGCCTACCCAGTGCCACCTGCCCCCACTTCTGCCTGGGTGGGTATAAGGCAGATCAGCTGCAAAGACCCTTCGGGAATCTGGAACATCCTTGTGCCCCACGCAGCCCCCAGGTTCGTGCTCAGCCACCTTTGCTACTGAGGCCGAGAGGCCCCACCTCCACCCCGGAGTGACTCCCGCCTTTTCCTAGAGGAGTTGAAGTTGCAAATTCCTGGCGCTCAGAACCTAAAAGCAGGCAGGTGGGAAATTGGCAAAGCCAGTCATTCCTTTCACCGTGAGGAAAATGCAGAGTCAAGGGCAGGTGAGCTTTTCCCAAGTTACAGGAAAAACTAGAACCCAAAGGTCAGTGTAAGAAGATGCCCCTCTCACTGTGGACCGTGAATTAAATACCTCAAATCTGTTAGTTGGCTTATCAGAGAGCAGATTTATGGAGGAGGAGGGGAAGAAGAGTCTAGACTTAGAGACACATGATTGAAATGCTGTCTCCTCTCCCAAAGGATGTGTTCAAGAAGATGAATGCAAGGGGAGAACAGGGCCTGCTTGGGAAAAAAAAAAAACTCGGACATGGAAGAAAGAGATGGGCAGTACGTGGAAGGGGTCCAGGCCAGGGCAGGTCCAACCCCACCTGCGGGGTTCAGGTGCCACAGCAGGTCCTCCACAGAAGGTACAGCTCCACAGGCCACAGGAAGGTGCCCCTGGAGGGTGCCTTCTAGACCCTTCTACGGACAGAGAAATGAGACCCAGAGAGGAGGTCTTCTTAATCCATACAAGTTAGGGGACAGTCCTGGGGCCTCTCTCAATCTCTGCCTGCCTTTCTAGGGACACGGCTTATACCTATTAGAAATTAATCTGCTCTGGTTTAAAGTGTAACCCAGAGGAAGAATCTATGCCGGTACCCACTCCAGCCTCTCTGTCTCCTGTCTCTGTCTCTGTCTCTGTCTGTGTCTCTCCTTTGCTGCTTTGCACCCTTCCTAATCCTCCAGCATTCGTCTGAACCCCTCCCGCCGGCCCGCGCCCCTCACCTTCTCGGCTGGGATGCTTGAAGGTCACGGCTGCGGCAAGCTCCCCGCCGTGTACGGTGACGCCGGCCCCGGGGGGCGCCAGCGGGGGCCCCTGCGCCGGCGGCCACGGCGGGCCCGGGGCGAGGTAGCCGCCGGCCGGCGAGCTGTACACACCGTGCTGGTTGGAGGCCGGGTAGGCGCAGGCCGGGAGGAAGCCGCCCACCGCGGGGAGGCCGGAGGCCGACTGCGGGGAGAGAGAGCGACAGACCGTCGGCAGCGGGCAATCCCGCCGGCTTCTCCAGCACCGGCAGTTACCGGGGTGGGGGGGGTCCCCATTCTCCCTGCTGTCCCCACAATGATTCCCCATGCGAAGTCTGGCCTCTAATTGTCCTGGCAAGGACTGTGGCAAAGCGATGTCCACTCAAATTGTTAGAAATAATAACAAAAGGTGAAGGGGGTCATCATATTCACCGTCCGGGACTTAGAGAAAGGGAGTCAGTCCTCAACCTTTCGTGTTAACGGGGCCCAGGTTTTTTAGCAAAAGTGTCTTGGCAAAAGGCAAGTCAATCCCCTCCTAGGAAAGGAGAGAAATATGCCCGCAGACCAGACATCAACCTTCAGCCCAACTCGCCTCCCCTGGGGGTGGAGGGGGCCTCTTCCCTTTCTTCCTACTCCCCTCCCTCTCCCTCTCCCCTGATTAAGGACACCTCCTTCCCCGCGCTCAGTTACCTGCGTGTATTTAATGTCTGCCTCCAAGGCAGGTTTCTCGAGCCCGTTCACGGCTGGGCTGGCGGGGAAGGCCGTGCGGTTCACGCCGGCCCAGTCTTCCATCTTCGGGGAGTAGGCGGCGCCTTCGCTCCCCCCCAGGGCCCCTGCGGGGACACAGGAGGATTAGAAGAGGTATCTGAGTCCGCGCTGGGCACACGGGCAGCCCTCCGGCCCGGACATCTAAACGCGTGCCTACAAGCGCCCAGCCCGGATCCGAAGGCACGACCCAGGCTCCTCTGAACACCCGGCGGCAGATGCTCAGGGCAGCGGAGACCCCAGATTTCGCTGTTGCTCCCAGCGGGGCAGAGAGAGGGTGCTGGGGACCTGCCCCTCGCTCCTCCCAGGTCTCCACCCGCTTCCCACGAAACAGGAAGTTTCCGACAGGGAGAGGCTGACGGCCAGATCTGGGCACCCTCCGCCCAGGCGGCTTTTCCACTTTGCAGAGACGGTGCCCCAAAAGGTCCAAGTTCAAATCCACAGCAGGCTCAAGAGAACTATATGGGCTTCTCAATGTCTCAATAAGCGTCTGGAGGGCTGGAAGCCGTTTCTACTCACAACTCCCTCCAGAGACATCCTGGGCCTCCAGAAAGAGGCATCAACCCAGCCACCCGTGAGCGTCCCCGGCTCAGGTCTGCTCCTCGCACACGTGTGTGTGCAGAAAACCGAGAGAAAGCTCCAGATCTGAGCTCAGGCATGGAGAGGTCACCTCCCCGCTAGCTCCCCACCGGACGCTCCATGGGAAGCTTTGGCCCAAGCCTGCGGCCCAGGCTGGGTTTGAGCCACAAGGAGAAATGAAGCCTGTGCACGGCCTGGAGGCGCGGCCCACAGCCGCTGGAGCTAAGCCTTCAGTTTCTTTCTGGACGCCCCTCCTGTCTCTTGGGCTACAGTGAATTTTGCCTCTTATGCTCCTGCTGAGTCTGCGCACCTAAGAACACGCCACTCTCTGGCCGGCTGCTGGGGGCAGGGGACAGTGCAAAGAGACTACGGACCCGGTCCCGGCCCCCACCCATTCTTCCGAGCCCCTCACCAAAACTGCCCCTAACCTTCCCCCCTCTCCCCGTCCCCTCCCTCCACACCCAGAGATTGCAAGCAAAGGGCAAATCCGTGGGAGCTTTCACCCTGAGGATGGCTGCAGCCTGCAGGCGCCTGTCACCCGCCAGGCCACGGGGCCTGCTGGAGATTCAGGCCACACAGCAAGACCGGCCAGCCAGACCCTTCGCCTTTTACTCAAAGAGCCTTTTTTGGGGAATGGTGAGGGATCCCGAAAGATCGGGATCTTAAGAAAGGGTCGCAGAATTGACTTTGCGGTTTGTTTGGCTTAGATCTGGCGATAGGGGTTTGCATACTTTTTGCAAGAATGAAAAAGCGCAATTTCAAGCCTCCGAATTTGTGGTCGGTGATTGCTCTTCTATTTGGGAAATATTTTCCATATTTGTCATAAAAAGTTCAAGATGTCTGAGGACTCCCACAGAAGGCCCAGGACCCTCAGTCTCCCTGGCCAACCCGGAGCCCTCCCCTGAGCCAAAACCGGTTGGAGGAGGCCCGCGAGAGTGACCCCTCACCCGCATGCCTCCCCCCGCTCCACTTCTGCCCCTTCCAGGAAGGCTACAGAAGGCTGGCGCCACTGACCTGTTTGCTCCATAAACGTCCGGATGCCCAGGATATTGCTGACCGAGTGAGCCGAGGGCCATGAACGGGGGATGCTGACGTGGCCCGCTGTGCCCGGGACCCCGTGGTGGCTGCCCATCTTGGCACCCGTGGGCGACACGGGGCTGGGGTAGGGATACTGGTAGATGTGGTTATAGGGCAGCGCCGGCTGCGGCGGCGGCTGCTTGCTCGCCTCGTACGGGCCGGGCTGCGCCAGGCTGCCAATCTTATTGCGCAGGATGCGGCTGATGGAACTCACAGAGGGCACGTTGTACTTGTCGCAGACGCCGTCGGCTAGCAGCCGGTCGCGGATTTCCCAGGCAAAGATGCCGGGGTCGCCCTGCTTGTAGTCCCGGATGTGCTTGACCACGTTGGGGGTAGTGACGCGGGGTTTGCTGCCCCCAATGGCCCCGGGCAGGATGGAGCCCGTCTCGTTGTAGCGCGCCAGGATCTTGCTCACGCAGCCGTGGGATACGCGAAGCTGCCGGCTGATGTCACAGGGTCGGATGCCCAGCTGCGCCAGCTCCACGATGCGCAGGCGGATGGCGTTGGGCAGGGGGCGGCCGTTGACGAACACGCCGCCCAGCTGGTTCACCTCGCCGTACGTCTGCTCTGCGGACGCGCCCGACGAGAGTGAGGGGAGGAGAAAGAACACCGGCGGGTTAGCCGAGGGTGGCCGCGCAGGGACAGGGGCTGCACCCGGGGCACCTCCGAAGGTGACCGGCGGGTCCTCGGAATCTGAGCAAACGGACCCAGTCCGGTCCCGGGAGTTGGCACCCGCGCAGGGACCACGGCGGGGGGAGCCGCGCACTTCAGCCCTCCGTGCCCTTTCGCGACTTCCGACGCGTCTACTTGGGACATCCCCTCCCGCGACACGCCGAGCGCCCCCCACCCACGCCCGGGGCTGGGGGCGTGCGGAGAACGCGGCCAGTATGGGACCCGGGACCTGGTCTCCCAGGGACCGCGGGCGCGAGGGAAGGGAGGCGCCGGGACACCCCCCGCCTCGTCCGCCCGCCCCTTACCCATGGCGCGCGGGCCGGCCGGCTGCCTGGCGCCGAGGCGGCCGGGGCTGGGCCCGGCGCGGTCCGGGAGAGCTGGGGCGCCGCCGCCGCGGGAGAGGCATAGAGGGAGGGCGCGCGCGAGCCGAGAGCCGCGGCGGCCGGGCCGCGGGCTGGAAGAGCACCGTGAGCCGCTGCCGAGCGCGCCGCCGCCCGCCGCCGCCGCCGCCCGCTCCCAGGACACTCTCCACGCCCGCGACCCCAGGCCTAGGGTGAACTTCATCCGATTAGGAGAAATTCGTCTGACCGGGAGGCTGCGGAGTGCGGGGATCAATTTGACGTGTCCACCACGTCAATCTAGGCAGTCACGCCGGAGACGCGCGAGTTGGCAGCTCATTGGTTCCCGTCACTGCGCCCCGACGCCCCCCTCCCCGCGCTGAAACTCTACCCCCTCCTTCTGTGCTCCCCCCTCAGCCCTCCTTCGGAACCCAGCCCCCTACACACACACACACACACACACACACACACACACACACACACACACAGTCCTAACCCCAGCCGGCCCTGGGACCTTCCACTTGCTCCGCTTCCCTCGAAGCCCCTCACCCCTCGGGTTTTGAGAATGATGGGCTAGTCATTTCAAATTGATGAGTACTTATTAGTACTAGTACTAGTTTGGGTTTTAGTTGTATCACTAACCTCCGCTGCCATTACTACTAAGATATCCGAGGATTAAAGTCGATTACGGCACGGTGGTCAGTGTGGGGCTGCCTCTCCCATCTCTCTCCCTGGGCAGGGTCAGGGGAAGAGCGGTGTCAGCGCCCCAGCTCCGGGCGGGCGGGCAGCGTGCTGGTGTCGCAGTGAGAGCCCAGGGTAATGCAGGGCGCCTGGCCAGCCGCGTCCAAAGTGTTTGCGATGGAGTGACTCCAGAGTGCCCCACTTCTGGCTGACACCCCAATTTCGCTCTCAGAAGATCTTTACAATGTTTAACAGCTACCCACTCCTTGGGATAGTAGTGTGATTTCAGTGATGTTAGAGGGGGCACATTCTAGATTCTGTCTCCCTGTGGACAGGTCCACCCACTTGAACTCATTTCTCTCAGAGAGGTGACCCAGGACTCAGGTCAGAAAGGGATTCTGACCTGCTGCTCCCAGAACAGGGACCCCACACTGTCCGGACCCCAGGGGTGTCCTGGTGGCCTGCCAGAGGTCAAACGCTATAGCTCCTGCTCTAGGTCGTTCCAGTTCCTTGTCTTCCAAGCTGGAAGCCTGCATCTGTCCATGCTGGGGGGAGGGGGGGCGTGGCCTCATCTTTCACCCAGCACCTGTGGCTTCCAAGGGGTCTTTGTTAAACCACGGAATGGTCCTTTCCCCTTCCTGTAAGTGGGGTTTGCACAGCCCTGAACTCTTTGGACTTAGCATTAACCATCAACACTTTTCTCTACTTCTATCCTGCATCAACATCGAGTTGTAGATTTCCCAGCCTGTGTCACTAACTGTGGTAGTCCCAAAGGGAGCCTTGAGGTGGGGTTCAGGAGAGAGCAGGTAAAGGGAGAAAGTTCCTGGTTTTGACAGGAGAAGACTGGGCCCTGGGAGTTCTGAGCTTGGGGCCAGTAATTGCCAAGGGCATTTAGCTGAATGCGTAGGAGCAGAAAGGGGGGCCTTGGAGGGAGCCTAGGAAAAGCCCTGGCTCCTGGGATTCCTGTATGCTCCCAGCTCTCCTCAGAAGGAAGGAAGTGTCCCCCGCCACCATCTCCCCAAAAGTCCAAGCGCTTGGGGGCTGGCAGAAAGCGGCACGCAGCTCCTGGACGGTGATGCTGCTGGAAGCACAGACAGACCCACCAACGCAGCAGGGAGCAGTGGAGACCAAGTCCCTGACTCCTTTCCCTCCTCTGCTCTCGGGAGGGAGTGCACAGGCCCCGGCAGATAATTCCAAGAATTATCCTTGGAAAAAGAAAAACCAGGTTCAAAAGAAGTGAGGACTCTCCCCTCCTGCAGCACAGAAAACATAGTGCAGACTCGGGCTCCAGGGACTTCAGGGAGGCCACAGGGACCGGTAGAGGTTAGTCAGTACACTGGCGAGAGTTGGGGGTGGGACTCTTTGGAAGATAAGGCCCGTCCACGACCGTGCAGCGTCGGGTTTCAGAGAGGGGAAAAGGTGGTTTGGATTAAGGTGGGCAAAGCCAAGAACTCTGCAAAGGCCCCAAGCAGAGCACTGAGTGCCCAATGGACGTGGGGCCCTCCGAGGCTGCGGGCAGTGGGATACGCCCTGCTCAGTTCTCTCCAGGTGGTTTGCAACCTGTTAGCCCCTGATCTAGACTTTCGTTGTCTGAATTTCAAGTCGGGCGCCGGAGACCAAAAAGTTTTATTCCGGGAAACGCAGCGTCCATAACCCGGTGCGCCCTCAAAATAAGGTGAAGCAGCTAAAGCCGTTTCTACCCCCCCCCCCGCCCACCCCGTAGGCGCGCTCGGAGAAGAACAAATAGAGCTGGGGTGTCTGGGTGAGAGGTGGTTCGCCCCAATCTCCCTGTCAGGGGAGCATCACCCCACCTATGCCAGTAAACCGCGGGGCGCGGGAAAGGAGGTGAGCCCAGGTCCCAGGACGGCATCTTCTCCCCACTCCCCTTGGCGGAGATCTTCCAGGGCTGGAGGAGACGCTAGGAGGATTGCGCCGGCGGCTCCCTGGGGTGTCGGAGCCCGCCGGCCCTCATTTCACAGCCCACATCCCTCGCACCACCACCCCTCCAGCCGCCGGCTGCCCGCTGCTGGACCACACAGCGCTCGCGACAGCCTGCTCCCAGCCCGCCGCCAAAAAGCTTACAGTTTGTCGCCCCCTGTCGGCCCGCGGCTCGGCTCCACTGGCTCCCGCGCGGCGGGCTGGTCTGGAAGCGAGGTGGCCCAAAAGTGGGCTTGCAGAAAGAAAGGAAAAGACTCTTCCACCTCCCCGGGATACAGCTTGGTCTCCTCCATGGCAGGGGGCGGCGACGTGGTCGATGCTGAGCGCGCAGAGGTAAAAAGCTCGCGGGTTCCACGTCTCTGCTGGGCTGGGTTTGGCTCCGTTGTTTCGAGCGCCTCGGCGCAGCGTGGAACAAAGTGAAGAGCGGCTCCCGGGGACGCAGGGCAGAGGAGCTAAGGGCGCCCGCCGGGACCCGGGAGACAACGCGTCCCGCTAGGGCTGGAAGCCCGGAGGGCGAAGGACAGATTCGAGGGTCCCTGAGTGGCTTCGGAGACTGACGCGGGTTTCGCAGGACAGAAAAAGGAGTAGCAACTACGTGCCAAAAGCGAACGGCAAAGAGGAGGCAGGAAGAGGGTGTCGGTCCTCCCGGGAGGCAGGATGGGCTACGGGTGAGTACTCCTGCGGTTTGCCGCCTGGGCAGAACCCGAAAGTTAAGGCTGTGAGATAAAGGTTCGGTGACAAGGTCATCCTTGGAGCGACAGTCACCCCACTTCACGTCTCCTGCGTCGCTTTGCTTTTTGGTGGGACTGTATCGGGGAGTTATTTGGGTGCAAACGAAATGTGCCAGCCGCGATAACCGCGGTGTTCCCGGAGCCCGTGCATCGCAAAGGCTTCAGGAGAAACCTAAACCAGCAGAAGGAAGTCCCGCTCGGGTCCCGCGGGGCTGAAGGAGCAACCGTCGGGCCGGGCACCCTTCGCTTCGGCGACCTGGAAGGACCCGAGCGCAGAAAACAGAGGCAGCATCTCGGGAGGACCCTGGGCCGAGCCCGCTGACTAACGGCGAACGCCGGTACCCAGCCACCTCCCGCCGGGGACGCTGGACCAGCTCGGGCTCCGAGGGAGCGGGGACGGGATGCCGGGGCCTCCCTCCGGCCCGCGAGCCCCAGGCCTGCGGGCCTGCACGCGCTCCGGGGGAGTCCTGGCTCCGTGCACACCCTGCACTTTTTTTTTTTTTTTTTTTTTGCGGTACGCGGGCCTCTCACTGCTGTGGCCCCTCCCGTTGCGGAGCACAGGCTCCGGACGCGCAGGCTCAGTGGCCCAGACGCTCCGCGGCATGTGGGATCTTCCCGGACCGGGGCACGAACCCGTGTCCCCTGCATCGGCAGGCGGACTCTCAACCACTGCGCCACCAGGGAAGCCCCACACCCCGTAATTTTGCTGTGATTTTAAGTGCACTGTGCCGTGAGTCGTGTGGTTGGAAAGCAAAGTCAAACCGAGTCTCTTCACTTTCTTTTTAAATTAGCTTTAAAAAAAAAGATAGGGCAAGCTACGGAAAGCGCTTTGTGCACCAGGTTATGTTGTGCCCTCACCCACCGCACTCACACAGTTTTGCAAAGGCGATCCCGCGCAAACTCGTAAGAAGTAAGTAAGGAGTGGACAGCTGCCCAGACGTAAGGGAGGAAGAGCTGGCCCAGATCAGGGAATTGCAAACCCCACGGAATGCGCGAACCGAGAACTAGCTCGCCGGAAACGGGACTGTGAGATAAAGCAACGGAACCCCACCCGGAGTGACCGCGGCGTTGGGGGCCTGGGGGGAGGGGAGGAGGGAGGAGGACTCGCGGTTGAACTGGCCCTGTTGAAGGTGGCGGAGTGGACTCACAGGGAAGAGGGTGGGTGCGTCACGCCCTGCACCTGCCGCTCCAGATTGGGACACAGAGACTCCCCAGACCCCGAATGGAAGATGTTGAAGATGATGCCAGTTAGCATGAAAATAGAGCCCCAGGCACAAGAAATACCGTAGGCTTCTCAGACAGATTCCCGAGGCTTGTTTCCACTTGGCCTGCTGGTGGCCACGCTGGCCTTGAAGTTGGTTGCCTAGCCTCGCCTTTTAGTTGCCAGCCTGGAAACGGGTCGAGTAGGCAGTGATGGGAAGGAACACCGTTCCCCTGGGGGCTGTTCCCCTGGGGGCCGTTCCCCTGGGCGCTGACCCGGGCATGTCCTTGGAAATGCAAGGGGAGAGAAGCAAGGAAATGTTTTTTTTCATTTTCCTAAAATGAAACGGACAAACAAGAATAGATGAGTATTGTCCGTGTGAATAACAGTTTCCGGATTCCATTCAGAGGGATGGGGGGGGAATCAGAAAACAGAAATCTGCCCTGAAACCCCCACTAGAAATAGAGGGAAATTGAACACAGCAAACGAATATCTGAGATACTTCCTACCCTGCAATGCAGGGATATGACTACTACATTTGTAACATTTCTTTTGGAGTAGAAACGTTTTAAATGTCGCATTTGGGTGATAAAAATTAACTACAGGAAACTGGTGCCATGTAGGAAGAAATGGTTTCTTTGAGTTTTTCTGAAGGACCAGCGGGTGTCCCTGCAA